GGGTGGTATGGTATAAGGGGCGCGAGGGGAAGAGGGGGGTGGGGGCGGGGAAGGGGCGGCTATACTGTATAATGGACACTAGGGGCAGCAGAGGGTGGGGGTGGGGAAGGGGCAGCTATACTGTATAATTGGCAGCAGAGGGTGAGGATTGAGGAAGGACAGAGGAAGAAGAGATTTGGTGGGGGGGGTGTCTTTGCTCCGCCCCGCCCCCAGGCCCACTGCTCATTCTGGCTGTCTAGCACCACCGGATATGGGGGGAGAGACCCAGGCGGGACCATCCCGGGGGTCAGAGTCTCACCTGACACCGGTACAGTGATGCTGATACTGTTCTCTGATGCAATCTCCTGCCCGGCCTCCCATCTCCAGTACTGACAGGTGTAGGAGCCGTCATTCCCCCTCTGTGCTGTGAGCTCCATCCGGGGCCCCCCGCTGGCAGCTGGCAGCTCTTCCAGGGTCTGATCCCCTCTGTGCTGGTGGAACCTGAACCCTACCACCTCCTCACCACCGGGCACTGAGCAGTCGAGGGTGACCTTCTCCCCGGGCAGGTACACAGGGAGCTTGGGATGCAGAGAGAGTTTGGGAGCCAGCAGAGGAGCTGCAATAGAGAGAAAGGGGTCAGTGCAGAAGGGCAACCTCCAGAGTCAAGAGAAGTCGATATGGGGAGTCCAATGATCCCCCAGCCTGTGAAACACCACACAGCAAACACCCCGCAGGACAGATGACAATCCCCAGTCTGAGTGGAACGGCATCTCACAACTGGCAGAGCTGTGGGGGAACAGCTACAGTCCTAACCAAATAAGCACCTCAAAATACAACAGGTGAAATTCCTGGCGAGACTTTTGAGTGATTTACAAGCAGAAGTGCTGAACTTCGAGCTGCTCAACTTGGCGCAAACGAGCCTTGACAAACCCACATTTGGAAAAAGTGACGATTTGATGCCAGTAGGATCTGGTGGTCTCCATAAATTTCCCTACTTAAGAAAAATAAAGGTTATGCTTATGGATAACTGAGGACGAGTCACAGGTAATGAGCTGCGGTGCTAAAGTGTGAGAAATGTACTGAATGGTATAAATCAAGGCCGTGTTTTGGTAGTTTAATAGAATTGGAAAGGACCTCAGGAGGTCATTTAGTCTAACTCCTGCTCAAAGCAGGACCAATCCCCAGACAGATTTTTACCCCAGTTCCCTAAATGGCCCCCTCAAGGATTGAACTCACAAACCTGGGTTTAGAAAGCCAATGCTCAAACCACTGAGCTATCCCTCTCCCCAAATACTAATTGTTCATGATGATGGATGTTGAATGGTTTCTTTCATTTTGTGTCCTTCCCCCGCCACAATCGTAGGTTTTCCCAGTGCTGGGCACATGCTATACCCCACTCTATAGAACTTCCCCCAGGAGCCAGCAGACTAACAGATGTTCCCTAGTTTGTGTTTGCCACAGTCACATGTGTCTGGGTCACTGGACTAGCCCCACTTCTACAGATTGACTTTGGACCTGCCAACTTTTGTTCGGAGATGATTTAAAGATCTCCAGGTTGACCAATCCTTCACTCCTCTGGGGAGGCATTCGGCAAATCACTCTACATTTTGATAACCTTGGTGAGTACTTCAAGTCCTGTGTGCCACGTTTCTAGTTGTGTGGCCATCAATTTTTTAAAGCAATTCCATTACAACTAGGAAGCTTTTCTGTGATTTCAGGGCCACCATTGGCCATGTACTGGATGTTTGGGATGGCCAACGATGCACATCACGGCCCATGTTAGACTGTCTCAATCTGCGAATCCTGCTGAACACCTACCACTACAATATGTGGAATAGGAAAAATAAGGGCTGTTTTATTAGTTTAATCTTCCTAGTTCATGACGATGTACGTTGAATGGTAAAAGAATCATGGAGTTATGTTGGTGCAATGCCAGTGATTTGTAACAACATAGAAGAATGAAAACAACTTACGAACGTTTGGGTAAATGTATAACTGGAGACATGGGATGACAGACATAGAAGCACAAATTAATATATAAAAACAAAGTGACCGAGGGCCCAAATTGGAGAACACTAGTCCAGAGACTGAGACAAATTTGGAAACTTGGGGCCCTGCCTGTTCAGTCCGATCTGACTTATTGTTTGATCCATGGAAGGAGTAGGGGCCTCTCCAGCACACACACGAAAAGGGCAAAGGGGTGCCGGAGACAGGGCTGGACTCACCAGTCACAGTGATGGAGACGGATTCACTCTTCCCTGACAGGATCGCTTGCCCAGATTGGATTATCCAATAGGCACAGGAGTACGCCCCAGCATTCCCAGTCATAGCCGTGCGCTCCAGCCAAGCCCCCTCGTCCAGCTCGGAGATCTGCTCCCCTCTTTGATGGTAGAATCTGTATCCCCTCACCTGCTCGCTGCCAGGAACTGAGCAGGTGAGCTTGACATGTTCCCCCTGAAAATAGATGCGTTTTGGGGGGTCCAGAATGATTTGGGGGGTTGGCGGGGGGCGTGGGACACCTGGAGAGAATGAAGAGCACAGAAAGCAAGGAGAGATATGGAAGGGCTCTGAATGAAGAGCACCTGGCTGATTGTGCAAATAAAATGGGGAACTGTCACAGGGAGCTGCTACACCCCCACTTCCACCATTCGACAGAGAATCCCTTCATAACACCCATCCCTTGGTGGCCACCCTCTGCACCCAAAAAGCAAAGAGAAAATCAGAGTGTCCCTCTGTGCTAAACCCGGCCAGAAGTGTAAGAACAAGCCAGATGGAGAAATAGCCCCAGAGACTGACTGTCCAGCCCCATGAGGTCGACCATCCAGACGCCTGGTCTCTGTGGCTCTCCTTTCCATTGGATGCTGTGATGGCCAAAAGCATATCTGGGTTCCCAGAAGTACTGGATCCATTCATGGAGGACAGGCCCATCAATGGCTCTTAGCCAAGATGGTCGGGGACGCAACTCCATGCTCGGGGAGAGGCTGAACCTCTGACTACTACAAGTCACGATGGACACCTGGGTGGGATCCTTCCATAATTGCCCTGTTCTGTACACCCCCCTTGAAGCTCTGGTATGGGCCACCATTGGAGACAGGCTACTGGGCTAGAGGGACCAGGGACCAGCATGGCAGCTCTTATGTTCTGATGCTGGTCCCTGCTATCACATGCTGAGAGAAAGGAGCCTCACCGGTGACTGTGATGGAGATGGGCTGGCTCTCTCGGGAGGAGATGTCCTCCCCAGGTTCGGCTACCCGGTACATACAGGTGTACGAGCCAGAATCCTCCATGCCGAGTCTGCCAATCTGGTAACTCTGAGAGTACTCCAGCACCTGTCTTGTGCATGCCACTTGTTCCCCAGCCTTGAGGAAGCAGAACCCCATCTTCTTCTCCCAGCTGGGAGCTGAGCAAGTCAGGGTAACAGAATCTCCACT